TGCAGTCTGAACAAGACTCATCATGCAAACTCAGGCTAAAGCTACAAAAGTGCAGAAGAAGAACGCAGCAGTGACATCAGAGCGGCTAAAGTTTCTGTGTTTACAGAGTTTCAGAGAAAGAGAGCCAGCAGTTACCTGAGAGCAGGGCGAGCAGCAGCCTGAGCTTCATGACGGAGCTGAATGCGCCTCAGAGCAGCTCCAACAGCTGCTGACAGCCACCACAGCTGCACGCTGCAAGAAATGAAGTGACGCGTAAAAACCAGCACCACACGCTGCTGCGACAGGAACATCCCACACACACGCAGCAGGCAGGGGCCAATCAGAGAGCAGCTCTCTGTTTACACACACACAATAATGTCACGAAAGTACATTTTAAAAAGGGCTCTGTAAACATGGCCGATCACTTTCATTCTGATGATCTGCAGAAAAATCTGGACACGAAAACCTGCAGACGTGACTACATACAGTGCAGACAGTGTGGACCCTCTGTGGGATCTGATCTCTGAATAGCTGCAGACCAAACTGTGGTTTGTTTACTTCCACAGCACGTCTCGTAGACATAGAGCAGAAAGAAGTCCTATCTCAGGTCTGAGAACAGAAGACAGGAAAAGATCAGGAAAGAAACAACTTCCCCAAACCAAAGCACCAATGAAACGAACGGTAACACAGGCTGATCGAGAGTAGCCTGATTAACATAAATGTGACTGACAAAAGCCAAAATAATTCCCGCTGATGTCTTTGTGTCAGCTCCTTTTCTAGACATTTCTATCCAACCAAAGTTGTTGCAGTCTGTGGTGGCAGACCGTGGGTGTGTGGGGAAGTAGGACCCAAAATGCAGGACTCTTCAATGCAAGCAATGCGTTGAGCCTCAGCTGCATGCTGCAAGAAATGAAGTGACGTGATAGGGTTGGGTAGGTTTCACAACGAGCTCACCCTAAACCTTGGCTGATTGTGACCCACACCTGTGTTCACACCTTGGCTCATGTGATTGGTCTGGGCTCTTATCGAGTAACTGCTAGTGATGATAAATTTGATTCTTTTTACTGAATCGAGTTTTAATGACTCACTCACCAAAGTGAATCGGGTTTTTTGAGTCATTTGATTCACTGAGTCAGTCGACCAGAGAGTGCAAAAAATGTACATTTTCACTCAAACTTAATTTGCTAAGATGAGTGATTGTAAAAGAAAACAACTATTTTATAGAGCAAAAACATTAACACATTGTAAAGGAAATATTTATTTTTATTTTTTTATTAGTATTTTCCACAAATGTGTCCAATATATATTTTCTCATCTAAATGTCCACTGAGCTGTGAGCCAGGGGGCGGTAATGGACCTTAACATTGGTTGCCAACCAAGAAGAAGAAGCTGTGAGCCAGGAGGGAGGGGGTGAGTGAGTCAAATGCAGTGTTGCCAACTTAGCGACTTTGTCGCTATATTTAGTGAGTTTTCAGACCCCCTAAAAAAGACGTGAAAGCGCTTTTACTCTCAACAAGCAGCGGGTGCTGTAACGCAGTCAGTTCTTTTACTCTTATGCTGCTCTTATTTAGTGTAAAAGTGTAAAACTACTTATAAACACACACACAGTAACTCCACCAGAGCGCCTATTTCGGGTCACTTTTGCCGGTCCAAGCCCGGGTAAAGGAGCAGGGTTGGATTTGTGACATTGAAAAAACAATAATTGCTAAAAGAAATTTAATTTGTAGTTCTAAATAAACTCTAAATGCATTTAGGACGTTTTTTACTCACTTTATGTCTCTTCCACGATGTTATTTCTCTCTCCAACAACATAGGTTACAATTACATTAGCATGACCAATTATGCAAATTAGGCGATGACGTCATTTAGCGACTTCTAGCGACTTTTAGGACAGCCAATAGCGATTTTCCTTACTGAGGCGTTGGCAACACTGGTCAAATGTGCTGTTAGCATGTTAGCAGAGCGATGCTACTGTGAACCGAGGAGCTATTGTCTTGATGTGAGCTTCTACTCAGGGTTTTTTCTTCCAGTTCAGAGCAGAAACGTTTTTGTTGAGATACTGGATGTTGTGTTTTTTCTCCACAATTTTAATTATAAGCTAGACATATTTCTACTAATGGAATTAGTTTGCTAATTTCAGTTGACCCTAGAACTGAAGAAGCTTCTCGGATGAGAGGTGAAACGTCTTCAAGTAGCTTAAAGAAGTCCATCGGCCTCAGTGATTGCGATGGTTCCAGTACTCACCAGAGGTGGGACCAAGTCATTGTTTTGCAAGTCTCAAGTCAAGTCTCAAGTAATGTCAGGCAAGTCAGAGTCGAGTCTCAAGTCACTGGTGTAAAAGTCCGAGTAAAGTCACAAGTCTGAAATTTGAATTTCAAGTCCTTTCGAGTCTTAAAAAAAAAACGAAAAAAAAATGTTGCAGTTATGCTAAATGTAAATATTAGACCATGTAATTTTTAAATCTGTGTTTTTCTCAACACATGACAAAATAGTGAACTTAGAAAATATACACAAATTGTGAAATTGCACCTCTTTAAAATGCAGCTCAATTAAACCTAGCTCCAAGAATAATTTTCACCGACAGTTCTGAGATAAGCTGCATGTTATTCTTGGATGCGGTTGTAGGACCAGCTTTAAAATCGCATGACAAAAATATCATACACATTAAAAAAAACTGCATCACCAACGTAGCCTGGACAACATTTGCTAGTTAGATGAAGTCAGCTATCTCATCGTAGCATATTTATATGCATATTTATAATTATACGGTTCTTGGAGTGAGTGCATACACTCATGAAGTTTAGTAACTTCAGGTCACTGCAACAAGCCCAGGTACAGTTTACCGACGGATGGGTGCAGGACCTTGAAATGCACCGTGTAGAACGAAAGACCATCGTACGCTATCATAAGTTTACCAGTCTCACAAATCGTCGTCATAAATACACATTCCTTAACCGTTTATTAATAGGACCTTTGAGCTCAACGGTAATTAATTAGTAGTGGAAATAATTTCTGGTAGCATCACAGAAATGTAGCAGTGACAATAATACTGTATGCTGTAATCGTACTGGGCAATTAGTGATACAAAAAACCTGTTTTATCCTGTGAATAAAAGTATATGTTTTTGTCAGTGTACCATAATAACAGAAGCGAAACGCAATATTGTGTCAGGACAATTCACTATTTATGCACAATAAACAAAGGAGCATAGCGCGACAATTTCTGTTCAGCGCCAGACTTGCTTGTAACCTATATCACCAATTATGTTATGAAAATGACGTATTAACTACAAAAAGACTGACCTTCGTGTAAATGCTTGGAGCAGACTAACCTGTGAGCTGGAGGGTTCTGGGACGTTATATTTGGTCTTTGAATGGCTGCAATCCAGGCCATCCGTCGCCTCTTTGTTACTTCGGAAACATGGCTCGAACAATTTCTCTTCAGCGACGTAATCCGATAACAACCGATCTCTTTACCCGTCGGCTTCCCGTGGCTGTCATGCGACCGGCTATTGCAGTTAATAATACAACAGCTTCTTGACATTTTTGTGTTTCTTTTTATCGCTGTGTGACTGATTTCAATTGAAAGCCTGCGTGCGCTAGTACCTCTTGCCACGAGTTCCCAGAATCCTTTGCGGTTCTACCCGTGAATGACGTCACATTTTCAATCTCTATATAATATGCATGTTAAATTTTATATTTGGGGTAAAATATCAAGTCTTTTCAAGTAAACCGGTTCAAGTCCAATTCAAGTCTTATCTTATCATATTATATACATTTGTACTTATGTAAATATGTATATTTTTATAGTTTTTCAAATCATTACAGTGCAATACTTTGCACGATTATGGATATACTTATAAGTACAAACACATGGCTGTTACACCTGTTACACTTTTTTATATATATATATTATACAGGATATTATACACTTTTACATTTTTATATACGATTCTTACTCCTGTTTTTATTTCTTTTTTCTCTCTTAGTTTAGGTAAAAGTTTTTCTAGTATGTTTCTCACAGTCGGGGGGAGTATTTTTTAGCCAGGAAAAACATTTCACTGTATGTTGTACTAGCTATAACTACATGTGACAAATAAATAAATAAAGAATGAATAAAGAATGAAAGTCCCAGGTCATTGGTGTAAAAGTCAAGTCACAAGTCTTAGAACATTTTTTCAAGTCAAGTCTAAAGTCATAAAATTAATGACTCAAGTCTGACTCGAGTCCAAGTCATGTGACTCGAGTCCACACCTCTGGTACTCACTGACAGGTTCTGGGCACTTTTTGCATGTCTCTGGCCAGCCTGACCGGATGATGCGTTTGAGGGTAGAGAGTTGTTCGTCTTGGGCCGTGGCAGTTTTGATGCATTCCAGTTTCTCTGTGCTCACTGGTGCTGTCCGGATGATTGTGTGTGCTTGCGTTTCCATTTCCTCACTTAGTGAGCTGTCACTGTCGTCTGTTGACTTTCTTGATAGCGTGTCTGCTACTGGGATCTCTTTTCCAGGCCTGTGGACAAGTGTTATGCTGTACTTCTGAAGCGCAAGCAGCGTACGTTGTAGTCGAGGCGGTGCAGTGATGTGTGATGAAATCTTTTACAGCCATAGAGGACGGCGTAGAGTTCTTTCTCTCTTTGGGCGTAGTTTTGCTCTGTTTTGTTGAGCAGTTTCGACGCGTATGTGACCGGCTGTCCTTCTTTTTAGAAGCGTCTATTTGTAGTGTTACCTCCTTTTGAGGGTTGAAATATGCACGCACTGGCCCTGGTTCGGCAGTAAGGGTGTCTTTGATTTGCAGGAAAGCTCGCACGTGTTGTTCTTCCCATTTGAACGGCATGTCTTGGCGCAGCAGCAGTCTGAGTGGTGCGCTCATTTCTGCCAGGTGAATTAATCTGGTGAGATAATTCACCGTGCTGAGGATTGTCTCCAGCTCTGCAGCGTTTTCTGGAGGTTTCATGTTTTTGATAGCTTTTACCTTGAGTGGGTCTGGTTTCAGCCCGTTGTTTGTGGGCTTATGTCCGGAAAAGCTCACCTCTGTAACACAGATGCAGCACTAAACCTCTCTCTTGTGCGGTTGAGCATGGCTTCAAGGTTTTTGTCGTGTTCCTCTTTTGTTTTTCCGAACACAATGATGTCGTCCACGATGCCTGCCACTCCTTCCGGGCCTTCATACGTCTCGTCAATCCTTCTCTGGAACTCATCTTGAGCAGACACAATGCCAAAGGGGAACCTGAGGAAACGGTGTCTGCAGAAGATTGTGTTGAAAGTAGTCAGAAAGGACGACTCTTCACTTAGCTTGATGGGCCAATAGCCGGAACGTGTGTCGAGGATGCTGAAAAACTTTGCACCTGTAGGCTTGTATGTCACATCCTCAACAGTGGGGAGTGGATAGTGTGGTCTCATTATGGCTTTGTTTAGAGGTCTTGGGTCCAGGCACAGCCGGAGTTTGGGTCTTTTCGGGTTCTTGCAGATTACAAGAACGTTGACCCATTTGGTGGCCTCTGTCACTTTCTGGACAATCTTGTCTCTTTCCATATTGTTCAGCTCTGATTTGACCTGATCTCTGAGGACAAAAGGCACTATTTTTGGTGGGCACACGACTGGTGCGACAGTCGGGTCCACTGTGAAGCTGCGCTCACCTTGGAATTCCTCAATGCCTTTGAAAACGTCATGATGTCGGGTGCTTTGGTGGGCTGCTCTGCTTCCATGCTCTCCATTACTGCGTACTACAGATGGCACGATACCACTTTTTATGTCCGATACCGAAATGAATCCGATATAGTGTGTTTTAATCAATAAAACTGTTTTTTTAATATCTTTCTGCATTTTGTATAAGTTCAAACTCAACTTTAAATAAACAACAACACTAAAGCTATTCTGTTACACCTGTATGCAAAAAACACACTGCACCCAAAATATTTCATAGTTCAGCAAAACTGATCAATCTAATAAACTTAAACCTGCTCCATCCTGCCTGTTCTGGTATTTTAAAGAGTAAGCAGCCTAACTAGTAGGTTTGCCAACTCCCAGCAAAAAAGGTTTATGTGGAACATAAACAAGCGGACACGCGATGGTTTTACCGTCGTTGTTGCTAACGACAACGCATAAAAACAGGCGCTTGTCCGTCCGTAGTGTGGTTATATTAAATATAAGAGAGAACTTTAATAAATTAATACAGCCACTACAGCGACATCAGAACGATGAAAAACATATTACCGTAAACAGTTTATGTTACGACACCACGAAACAAACGATAGCGTGAAATGAAACGACAGACGTTTTTATATCGTTATATGAACAGCCCTACTATAACCTAGTAAAGTATAAAGAGTAAATGTACTTAGTTACCTTCCACCACTGAAAAGCTTAATTTCCAGGTTACTTAGTTCTTCTAATTTAAGCAACTCAAGTTTAGTCTGCTTAATTTTTCTAACTAAGCACAAGTTCGTTATTGATGTAAACAGCAGTGCAGCTGAGGGTGCTGAGCCTGAGCTCCAAACAGATAAACAAGCTTCATCCTTACACGACCGCCACGTGTCACAGTCAGGAGGACGTGCTGAGCCAACCAGAGGAGAAGAGAGCCATTGTTACCACATCAGGTACGCGCGGTCAATTGCTGGGTGAAGAACAGCACGCAAGTAGTGTTAGATTTGTATTGTTGATTGTCATTTATGCTTAGAAATATTTACTTATATATGCTTAGAGTTTTGTAATTAGTTGTAGATTGGTAGAGGTTTTGATCATACTTAATAATCTGCAAACTTTGTGTGTATTAGACAGCACTTTGGGAGCATGAGAGGTCATACCGTGTCTTATTGTTTTATGGTAGGATTAACGTAGTTGCGTCTGTTCTAGTCTAAGTGCTCTTTGTTTAGATGAACTGCAGGACTTCCTCACCGTGTTATCTAGGATGAACCATCTAGGGTGAGGGGGACGCTACCCTCTTCCTGACCAAGGATGTTTGACCCTTTGATCAGCAGCACACACACACACACAGGCAAGGTACTCTTTGTGTGTATGTAGACGTCATATGTTAATGAACTTATGCATATTCATGTAACCTCAATAAAAGGGCAGTGTTACGGGAGAACGGACGAGAGTAACTGGGGTCAAGCGAAGGAACGGCGCCTGTCCGGTTCTCTCCCGTGCACGAGAAACATGAAGAAGCTTGCCTACTTGTGTCTTGCTTTGCAGTGTAATTATATTGTCTTCAACGTTCCAGCGGATGGGTTCAAGCTACAAACCTATCAAGTAGTTTCAGTGACAACTTTTGTTTTCACCACAAGTGCTCACAACTGGAATGTGAGTTTCACAAATGCTAAATATAACAACTAAACCATAGAGGTTTATGCAGCCTGAGCTAAGTGAGCAATCTGGTCATTCGTCAGTGGAAAACAGCTGCTCCGAGGATTGGGCTGGAGGGAGAGTCAACCTGGGTCCGGGGAAAGGGTCAGAGTCACTGAATATAGACGTTCAGGTAGGGTTTGGGAGGAATATGGGCAAGCTGTGAGTTAGCGCAGGTGGTCTGTAGTGGCAGGGAGGCAGGCAGGTGAACGGGGTGAACAACCCGTGGGACTGGCAGGTGGTCCAGCGTCCAGATGGGAGCTCTTCGGCAGAGATTTGCGTCCAGCAACTTGATGCGTGGAAGGGTTAGCTGAGAATCTGGCGAAGAGAGGTTGAGTGCGCTGGCCTTATGAGTCCCCGGCTTAATCACCCACAGGTGCGAGCAATCAGCAGAACACAGAGGCCCCTCCCAGGGGTGGAGATGCCGGCTCGGAGGGAGACACACTAGCACACCCCCGGACCATGACACGCACAAAACACACCTGCACCTGCAGCACAGAGTCCTCCAGCCGGGGTGTAGCTTTAAGCCTGTGGCCTGATGGGAGTTGTAGTTCTTTCACAGGGTCTTCTCTCTTAATCAGAGAATCAGTGATCTGAGGAGGAGGCTCCATCTGTGAAGATAGCTGATCACTGAGGTGGTGGAGGAAAAAATCCAGCAGTACAGAGTCGTTCTCCTCCTGCAGGGGGTGCTGTGGTGTCTTCAGCCTGAGCGGGTGGAGCAGGAGAGCTGGAGATGAACTTCCTGAGTGAGCTGCTGGGCATGAAGGTGGTGCTGCTGCTGGAGCAGAGAGTCTTTACAGGAGAGACAGAGGGAGGGCGCCGCCATGATGGTGATGTTGGTGTAACGCCATCACGGATGAAATAAAGCTCGTGTGCTTTTTTCTGACATGTCAACTTTTTTTCCCCTTTCAGAAACAAAGACGTCACATCTGAGCTGGATCAAAGGAACAAATAACGTTTATTACTGTTGTCATAGCGATCTTACAAAATTGCATCTTTACCCTGGTACAGGTGTGGGGTTCTCACGCGTAACTCCGCCCCCATGGCTGTGATTAGAGATATTACAGAGTCTTTTTTAATCAAAGTCAGTCCATCAAACAGCCTGAGCTCACAGCACAGCTGAGTCTGTGTAGCTGCAGGTCATCTGTCCGGCCAGCAGGTGGAAGCAGCGTGCAGCAGAAGAACTGAGCGCCCAGGTTACCAGTCAGAGGTAAACGTGTTTAAAGGAACAGAAGAAGAGTTCAAACCAACCTTTAAAAGTCTTCCAAACATTTTATTAAATTAAATCTGAAAAAACAGGAAACCTCACTAAACCTTTCACAATAAAAGCTCTTTACATCTTTATTTACATGTTAGGTCTCATGTTAGCACCTGCTGCCTGCAAACCTTCAGCCTGAAGGCGGGGTTAGTCACCTGGGACCACAGCTGTAGCTCTCTGATTGGACGCTTTCAAAGCAAAGCGTGAGAGCAAGGCTATCTTCCTAAAATACTGGAGGCTTCTCAGGGCAAAGCTGTTGTCTCGTCTGTCCTCGACATTTCCTCAAAGAGCTCATCATCGTCCTGCCTCCAGACTCTGCGGATGAGTGGGTGGAGCCTCAGAGCTCAGGGGCAATTCTCGTATACGCCTCCCTCACCACCATCCATCTGGTAGATGTTGTCCACGGCGGCGGGCTGAGCGTGCAGCTGCAGAGTCGACGACGTGGGGTTGAACCGCACCGAGCCGCTGATATGCCGACGCTGCCGAGGGCTGAGACGTGAGAGCGAGAGTGTTAGTCAGCTGTCAGGACCTTTTGCTATAATAACATTAATGATATTACTCTGACTGCAGGAGATTATAACATCCTGCAGAGAAGCTCCAAAATAAAATGATTTGCTGCTTCTGTCACATTTTATTATAAACCAAATTTAATTTTATCCACACATCTAAAACTCTAAGCTGCTGATTGAATCTGTTTCCTGCTTCCATCCTCATCATGACTCAGATTTTCCAAAGTAAAAGCCTCAAACTTGACTCAAAGCAGTGTGAAAGGTCACTTCCTGTTCGTGACGCTGATTATGCTGCAGTTCAAATGAAGCATTAACGAGCAGTCGTGTTAATGATGATGATGAAGGACCTTCCTCCCCGTGCTCTGAGGCTCCAGTGCAGCAGTGATGGAGCTGGAAACACTGAGGCTGTGGATCACCCACACCCACTCATGCTGGGGCGGCTCTGATGGACTCGGCTCACAGTCGCTGAATCACAAACCAAAGATCGAGACAACCCGTCGCTGTAAACGGCAGAGCTTTGGTAGTGTCGCGCTTGTTCTTGAGTTTGGACGCCATAATGGCGGACTGTGTTCAGGGCTTTTATGGACGGTGTTTCTAGTAGCAGAGGGGTGGAGGGTGTGGTGCTGCTGTGGCTGAACATGGAGCTCTGACACGGGCGTCAGCTCGAAATGATTCCACTCTGATGGGCCTTAAAGGTCGAGCGAGCCGCCGTTGGCTGGTTTGAACTCTGTGGTTGTCTCACCTCTCAGTTTCAGTCTGAACACGCGATGAAGGCTGAGAGATGATGAGTCACGACTTCTCAGCAGCATCCGCGATGGTCGAGGTGCGGAGACACGTTAGTTACTCAGAAACACAAAGATAAAGATCGTGCACTCACACTGTGTGGAGGAGCTTCAGTCTTCTCACTGCAGAGACACAAAACAGCAGAAACATGTTAATGACGAGACGTTTGTGACATAAAAAGAACAAAGCACACAAATCAGCACCAAGCCGAGCGACCGAGCCCGACGCGAGAAACACAAAGACCAACGCACTGAGACGCGCTCCTGATGATCAGCGACCTCGCCTGAAACATCCAGACACCGTCGCTCTGTGAGGGCGGCGAGGTCAACGCTGCCGACGCCATGTTGGGTCCAGATCACAGCTCACGAAGAGCTGAATGAGCGCAGAACGTCGTTCAGTTTCTTTATTTTAAGGTTGTTTCCTGTCTTACATGCACGCACAGCAGCAGACTGCAGCTAGCTTCATGCATGCAGCAGATGCTCCGGCCCGTGGGAGGACCAGAGGAGGCCCTGACACGCACCGTCATCTGGACTTTAACACGATTCACTGCAGAAATGATGAGTCACGTCACACGGACGTGTTTGCTAATGCAGCTCAGCGTTTCCATCAGAGCTGCTGCTACAGAGCGGGGGCGCTGACGTCAGCACGGGGGTCTACCGCACGATTCTCAGTAATGATGAGCGATCCAGCCCACGCGCTCGCTCTGCGGCGACACAGACCCGAACATCTGGTTCTCAGGAGAAGGCGGAGCTCCTCGGGCGTGTCTGCAGAGGTGAAGCTCGGGAACAAACTGTTGAAACGTTCACACCTTCAGCTCGGCCTCCGCACCATCTCAGCGGTCTCGCCTCCTGCAGGGGGCGCTGTGGTGTCTCTAAGCTTCCCTCTCACTGGAGCTCCATGTTTGTGTTAAACAGTCTGGTTTCAGCGCTCTCTCCTGTCTCCGAGACATCTCCACGCCTTCACAGGTGTGCCACACCTGTCCACTCCTCATCCTCTTGTCCTTTTGCAAGGCTCCATTAAATATCCAACGATTATTGTACAAAAATAAAAACAATCAGCTGATCTGAGAGGACCTGACCAGGACGTGTCCCTGTTTATTAAACTGCGCTGCGTCACATGACCTCCATGTTTCCTGTCTGGCTCAGCTAAAAACACCAGATCATGGACGGGGAACTTCCTCTTTGTCCTCCGTTACTTTGTGCTTCTCTGCTCTGGCTTCCAGTTTCCTACAGGATCAAACTTTTAGCCCCTTCATACCTGTCTGAGCTCCTTTCATGCTCCAGAAAAAGCAGGAGGTCCAGCTCAGGATGAATTAGTCCGTCCCTCGGACTAAACTCAAATCTCATGGCGATAGAGCCTTCTCTCTGGCAGGTCCCAGACTTTGGAGTAGTTTCCCCCTGAATATTTAAATCACTTCTAAAGACACATTTTTATACTCTGTTCTTTAACACACTATGACCATTTGGTCTTATTCAGTAGTCTTAGGTTTTGTTTTATTCTCTTATTGTCCCTTTATTGTTTTACATTGTTTCTGTTTTAATGGCATCATTGTTGGGCACTTTGTGCAGCACGAGCTGTCTGGAAATGTGTATAGACAAACTTGACCTTGTCACTGCGAGGACAGTTTGACTAAACTCACCCAGGAGTCCTACGATGGCGAGCAGAGACACCAGCCCCAGCAGGACGCAGACGACCACCACCATCAGCTGACCGCCGTCCTCGCCCTGTAAACCCAGAAAAACACCACATGACTCTGTCACAGGGAAGCTTCACCTTCTGTAATGCAATCAGCAGAGAGTTCGTCTGTTTGACTGACTACTCTTTGGTCTCACAGCATTTATTCAAATAACACTTTTATACTTGGTGCCTTCTTTCCCAGCATGCATCTGGCTGCCACAGTGAAGTCAGTGCGATGGCTTTAAAAAGCTCAACAACACAATGAACTCGTATTGAGCCACACAAAGTTCAGTGTATTTCCCATTTAGCCTCCTTACCCCTCAGAGACTGAGCACAAAATCACTACGAGCTCATGTCCACCTGCTGCCCCTGGACAGGTGTGGTAAAAGGTGTGACTCCACCTGTGTCGTGTTATTCAGTATCTGTGGTGTATAAATAGCCCTGCTGCTTCTCTGTTTATCAGGTGGTCAGTGGTCTTGTTTGTGGTTTTCTGGTCTCACTCTCTTGTTGTCTAAACTGCTTTTGTTTCCTCTTGTTCTTGTTGCAATTCTAATCATTGCATATTAGTACCATATCAGCCTATTAGAGCACTTCGCTCTCGCTCTGCAGGCCTACTTGTTGTTCCTAGAGTATTTAAAAGTAGAATGGGAGGCAGAGCCTTCAGTTTTCAGGCCCCTCTTCTGTGGAACCAGCTTCCAGTTTGGATTCAGGAGACAGACACTATCTCTACTTTCAAGATCAGGCTTCAAACTTTCCTTTTTGCTAAAGCATATAGTTAGGGCTGGACCAGGTGACCCTGAATCCTCCCTTAGTTATGCTGCAATAGACGTAGGCTGCCGGGGATTCCCATGATGCATTGAGTTTTTCCTTTCCAGTCACCTTTCTCACTCACTATGTGTTAACAGACCTCTCTGCATTGAATCATATCTGTTATTAACCTCTGTCTCTCTTCCACAGCATGTCTTTATCCTGTCTTCCTTCTCTCCCCCCACCCATTCCCGGCGGTTGGCCCGGCCCTTCCTTGGGCTTGTTTTTGTTGGGGTTTTTTCCTGTTAAAAGGGAGTTTTTCCTTCCCACTGTCGCCAAAGTGCTTGTTCATAGGGGGTCATATGATTGTTGGGTTTTTCTCTGTATCTATTATGGTAGGGTCTACTGTACGATTAAAGCGCCTTGAGGCGACTGTTGTTGTGATTTGAGGCTGTATAAATAGTTTTTATCAGCTTGTCAGTTATCTTTAAGTTGCTCTAATTTTTACAAATACAGTGTGTGTGAAAAAATAATTAATTTTATATATAAAGAATCAAGAAATACTTTTTTATCTCAGGTTCTGGTTTGGACTGTCCAATCACACGAGGCCGCGTTAGCAGCAGTGTGAGCTGCAGACAATCCAAATAACATGATCAGAAACATTTAAGACACACACTGACATGAATACAAGTTACTGCTTTTTAAGATATAATGTGAGACGTAAGGACCCACAGACACCTGGGAGCTGTTTATTCATGTAACTCGATGAGGGTCGCTCACATGGATCCTGCTGCTGGATGTAACTCTGTGAACCTGCAGGGATTTCATACACTCAGAGGAAAGACTTCTACAAACAGCTGGAAGCGTGCAGGATTATTGTTAGGATGATTCTCACTGTTCACATCCTCAGTATGAAATATGTGGGGTGATGGTAACAGCAGCAGGTTTGGCACAGCTAAGGGAGGATGTAACTCCATTAGGTTTAGCGGTTATAGATCGCAGTGACTGCAGTGTTTTTAACGTGAAACTGTCTTTAAGGATGTGAAAGTCCCGACACCCTGACTTTGGTCGCTCTCAGCGACTTCATGTTTTCATGCTGTTTTTCTTTCCTCACCTCGCTGCTGCTCGTCATGGTGGAGGGCGAAGTCAGGAGGCTTTCTGCAGAGGTCATGTGACCTGCAGCATGAGGAAGCGAAAGCAGAAGATTTTAAGACAGCTGTGTCAGCAGCAGCATGATGTCATTAATTTTAGCCTCTGATCCTTTATTCCAGAAACACACTGAGTCTGAGACCAAACAGTTCCTGTCACTTTCAGCCTGATTGGACAAAAATCAGGAAGCGATGCTATAAATATGTGATGACTAATAAAGTTTGTTCCACAGAAATGTAAACGATCCTCTTTCCTGTCATCTGTGTTTGGTCCTGACAATCATGTGTTACTTCATTTCTGTCATCAGCTGATTAATCACAGGTCACCTTCAGAGGCTGCCGTCGGCTCTGTGGGCGTCTCTGAGTTTGGCGCCGTCCATGTGGGAGTTTGTGGCGCTGAAACAGATCATTGACATGACGTCAGCACACTCTGCTTCAGATGAGTCTTTGTAATGAGAGGATCAGCAGGTGAGAGCAGTTAAACGTTCAGAGAGCTGCAGCTTCCTCGTGATGCTATTATCAGGAAACTAAAGCCAAACAGAGATTTCTTTATTCAAACACGACTCGAGTCACGACTTCATGATGCTCAAATGAAAAGAGGAAAAGGAAACAGCCCCGAGGTTAGACCTGGTCGACGTGCTGATTCTGAACAAAGACAACTGTGTGAGGAAGACTCTGCTCACTGTGTAGACTGAGACGAAGCTGTAGTTGCTATGATACCAGAGTCCGATGGTTCTGGTGTTGTAATTCCTCACCTGTGACGACGCTCAGGTCAAAGTGATGCTTCTCATCGTTGAACGGCCCGGGTATCTCCACCCTGCAGCCGTATCGTCCAGCGTCTCCCTCTGTGAGGTTCATGATGGTCAGAGAGACGTCTCCGTCCTCCAGTCGGCCCAGCAGCTCATACCTGCTGGAAGCTCTGGTTAACACTCTGAGTCCATCTGTGGAGATCAGCTGATTGGAGCAGCCTCTGGTTGGTATTTCTCCTCGCTGCCAGCACGCTGACAGAGCGCCGTGATATTTCCTGTCATATTTACAGGGCAGAGTGACGTCCTGACCTGTGTGACCTTTGACCCTGCTGCCGTCACATTCACAGACTGGAAACAGAAACACAGGAAAGCTTTGTTACATCAGATCCAAACTCTGCTCAGGGCTCAGATCAGGTCAATGTCATATCATCTTCACTGGTTTAACTGGGTCTGAGAGAGTAATTTCGAAACGGGGATCAATAAAGTATAGATTATTATCATTATTAAACTGGCGCTTTAATCGATACCAGTGCCTGATCAGTTTATAGATTCTGCTTGTTTGGCAGTTTGATGTCAAAGTTTAAAAGAGAAGGTCAAAGGAGCCTGGAAAGAAAAGCGTCTGGACTTCTTTGAGTTGCTTGAAGACGTTTTAACTCTCATCCGAGAAGCTTCAGTTCTAAAACCAGAACTTTAGTTCAAAAACCATCCCCTGTGTAGCCGGTGTATCACAGAAACTCAGGAGAGTTTTCTGCAAGCACGACATCCTGGTGCATTTCAGACCCAGCAACACACTCAGACACAAACTGGTTCATCCCAAAGATTACAAGACGAACTCCCAACTCTTGAGCCACGATCGCCCCTTCGCCTCCTTTATCTCAGTGTCCTCGATTACTTTCAACTCTGTCTTGTTACCCTTATGTTTCCTTGCTCTCGGATCACCTGCTGCTTCCATGTAAAGCTTCAGTTTGTTTCTGTTCTCTGTATGTTCCCTTTGTTCCTTCGGTCTTTAGGTATTCAGACTCTGTCTTTGTGTGTTATTGGAGTTACTAAAGGTTAGTTTTGTCTTTGACCTCCAAGACTCAAAAACAACACGTAAGGATGAGAATCATGGAAAACAAACCCAGATGGTGTTTGTGAAGCCTCAACATGAACATTTCCATCATCACCATGGAAACCAGACATGAGAAGCAGGAGGTGGATGAGACTGAAACAACTTGTCAGTCACAGGTTTTTAGCCAATGAGCATTTCCAGGATAATCCTCCTCTCTGATACGTGGAGTGACCAAAATCTACAAACTACACGTTAAATTAGATTAAATGTGAAAACAGTGACTGAGTTCACACTCATCAGGTCGGGGATCAGGCCCCCTGCTGGTCATTAGAAGAATGCAGGTTTAAGACACATTTGGCTTCACTTTTTAGAAATCAAAGCTCCGTCCAGCTTTGCTCTCCGTCAGCTCACCCAGGCTCAGCGCCAGAGAGGCTTTGACCTTTAGATGAATTCTCACACAGCTACAGATGTGACAGAGAGAAGAAGACGTTTATCCACCGTAACCCTGGAGAGGACGGCAGTGAGGTTTAGACCGCCACTGACCCTGTCCCCCCGAGTTCGTGACAAAATCACTGCTTATTATCCATCATTGAAGAGACGTCAGAGATCAGTTTCAGTAAAATAAAGACCTTTGGGGTCATCTGAGGTTAAAAGGAAGCACACAGTGAACCAGCTGTTATCGCTGGGTAACGTTTGGGTAACATGACGTTCATTCTCGTTGTTAGCCAACCCTTCAGGAAACCCAGCTGTGCTGACGGGGATTCGAGTTTTCACACAACTATAAATCACATCCACCATGTGAGGCAGAGAGATAAAAACAGCAGATCAAAGTTCCACCAGCAGCACAGCTGAGGGGGATCACGCGTTTTCAGTGATGATAAAGGTTAAATAAAGACACCAGGCAAATAAATCTCAGGATCAGAGACAGTGGAAAGGTGCAGGTTACCTGTGAGCAGCGCCAGCAGCAGCACGACCTTCATGACGAAGCCCGAGTGACTCGTCAGAGCTCGCCAACACGTTTAAACAGCTGCTGACAGCCTGCGAGTCATCACAGCTGCACGCTGCAAAAAATGATCCTGAAACCACAAAAACAGAGAGGCGGGGCTCCTGACACAGTCTTTACTCAAACAGTTAATCCACGGATTCGACTCCAGATTATTTCCTTTACAGTTCAGCGTTTTGTTGACATTTAGCTCCCTCTGTGGTTATCATCCTCACCCCCTCGTGTCCTCCATGTTTTCTTCCTTTACGTTTTATAGTTTGGTTTTTTCTGGAGGTCTCATGCTTTGTAGCGCTGTGGTTCTTGTTGTACTTGAGTTTATGATCGATGCAGTCTCTTCAGTGTAGCCTGTGTAGTGTTTATTCTTGGAGTTATTTCCTGTTTTATTTTGGTAGTTTGCTTTCTTCTGTCTTGTGCTTAGTTTTACTTCCTCCCCTGTCTGTCGCCCTCCTGATCACCTCAGGTGTATAAATAGTCCCTCCCTCAGTCTTTGGTTCAGTTTGTTGCCTTCGTTGGACTGTTATTGGGCCGGGCCGTTAACCAGATTAACCAGTCAGGAGCAGATTATAGAGCAGAGATGGTGGTCTCGCAGCACAGCGACCCCTGCAGGTCTGTGCAGGCAGAAAGCTGAGCTGAGAACGGTCACAGACAACAACAATAAAGAAACAAAAATAGTTTTGAGTTCAGTTTATGTCCTGAGTCTTTGTGTCCGTCCCTCTCGTCTTATGCACATAGAACAAACGTCTGAAGGTTGACGTAAGCATGAAGGTGGTGCTGCTGTTCAGATGAAGCTGACCTCAGACGTTTGCTTCTGTCTGCTCTCAGAACTGAAGCCACAGTAGACGCCAGACTGAAGCTTTGAATCCTCAGAGTTAAACCAGCAGCATCATTTCGCTTAGATTAATCAAAAACAGCTATTTACTAGAAATGAAACCTTCACAGCTCACCAGGGGGCCGCAGGCCACGCTTTGTGAACCACTGATGTGAAAAACATTACATATGATATTTCAGTCATTACAAAACATGTATTATAGTATTTAATTAATAGCTGCAGTATTTACTGTGTATTAAACTATTTTATTGTCTACAGAGAACATTTAATATCTATTCTGTGTACGTTTGTAATATTTTATGCAGAATTATGGTTTATTTACAGTATTTTCTTGCATCTTTCAGTGTTTCTGCAGCTGAGCAGGCAGAGCTGAGCTGCAGTCACTACTTTCATGGTTAAGTTACTGAACTTCCGCCTCACAGACAGCAGGATGACTACGAGGGGGAAGTTTTCCCCCACAGCACAGCTGAGTCTGTTCAGCTGCAGTTCATCGATCAGCCACACGGTGGAGGCAACGAGCACTAAACAGGAACACAAGAAGAAGAACTCACAGTGAGGAAAAAAAGGTGAGTTCCAACCAACGATTAAAACAATTAAATTAGCAGACTCATCTGTACTGTTGAAAGTGATTATTTAACACATCAAGCCTTAAATAAAGGATTGTTTAAGGCTTCCAAGCTTGAGGTCCATACGGTACATCTCAAGGAATCAATTTTCTCACTTAACGAGATTATAAAAGATGCCAGAACTGAATATTTTGCTAATCTAACAGCTTCAAAAAAGAAAAATCCCAGAGTATTGTTTGATACAATTAAAAACATTGTCTCTCGTGATATTCCTCACGTACCAGTCTATACTAAATCTCATTGTAATGACTTTATTTTAATTGATTTGATTTGATTTACCTTTATTAGTCCCACAAGGGGAAATTTCATAAGGCTGCCGACCTATTGCACGCAATGGCGGCGCCATCTTACCCTCCGACCACACATACATTACACAAAACATCACATTGGGAAGACAGGTCAGAGAGGTCTAACAATGGAAAATGCACCATATGAGGAAAGATAAGGAGAAAAAAATAACTCCCCCCAGACTGAGCTCCAACAGGGAGATCAGTTTGAGAACAGAAAAAAACACCTCTGCACATGAAAAACTCTTAATACACCAAAGAAACACATGACAAGCAACAGGGGGGGTAAAGGGTGAGAGACAGCTGAATTAGACACATCCGGGCCTGCGTGCGCTGGTCTCCTTGATCCACCGTCAGCATCGGAAGGGAATAAGCGTCGAAGGCGTTTGGAAAGGGAGGGGGGATGAGTGTGTGCATATCAGTGTATGTGTGTGGGCGTGTCCAGAGCTCAGCTGAGACAGTGTCCTTCACCCTGCCAGGCTAAGTAAACAGTCTTCCAGCCAACCCAGGTGGGCTTGCATGGAATGGGAAGAACAGACTAAGCACAGTCGTTATCAGGGAGTTGTTGTTCAGCTCCAGCCTTGAGCCCACAGCTGGCGCCGAGAGGGTCTCCGCATGAAGTGATGGTGGTTTTTACTTTAGTGCGAACAACTCATATGAATTTCAAAGCAGTTCTACAGTCCAACACTAGTCTCTCAATCTCCCGTTGGAGAGCCGCGAGCTTCGCCATACTTGCGCTCTGTGATGTTGTCATTTCTTGTGCTCAAGGAGCCGATTCTGAGAACTCACGGCAGTGTGCCTCCCCGAGATGTATCCAGTCTGCAGTCAGAGATCTTATTCTGAGTATCCACAGCAGCCGTAGCCTCTCCAAGATGACTCAATGAGCCCATTTTGAGAAACTCACGCCTCGTCCCATCATTTCAATCCCAGCGGGCAGCCTTGGGGGGGTTTGAACAGCCGGTTCCGCTTTCTTATTTCTCCGATAAGTCAGGGCCAAGCCAGCTCCGATCAGCCAGACCCCTGTTATCATGGTTCATAGGTAGATATCTTCAGCACTCAGGCTCACCCGAGCCCAGACTTCTCGTTGAGAAAGGGTGTCAATTGCATTCAGAGACCAGTTGATCCAACCCATAATTCCTCTTTTAGGTTTTAGAGAGCAGACTGTGAGAGAGTGTTCAGGGAAAAGTAATACAAAAAACATGAGTCTAGATAAGGGAGAGGAGGAGGAGAAAAGTGCGACCGCCTTCATCAAGAGCAAGAAGCAGTGTTTTTAAACTATTCTGTTAATAAGGTCGCTGCCGTCAGGTCTAATATGTCTCCATCCTCCTCCCAGTATCACACTGACACGTTGCTGATACCTGCTCCTCTGTTACTCCTGTCACCTTACAGGACGTCAGTGTCTGCTTGGTCAGATGAAACTGACTTCAAGCCACCTCGATGTACTTCATCATTTTTCATTAGTGTGTTTGACTCTATTGGCCCCTGTATTCTGGAAATAATGAATACTTCTCTTCATACTGGCTCAGTTCCCAGCTATTGTAAACAAGCTATTGTTGAACCAATATTAAAGAAACCAAATGTGGACCCATCTCTTTACAGTTACAGGCCAATATCAAAATGACCGTTGGTGTCAGAGATCTTGGAAAAAACAGTTGCAGAACAACTTAACAACTTTTTGGAGAAGAACAATGTTCTGGACATTTGCACTCCACTGAAACCGCTTTGCTTAAAGCGTGTGGGGACACTCTGATGGCAGCAGACTCTGGAGAGCACACCGTTCTGGTTCTGTTGATCACAGCATCGTGATAAATAGGCTGAAGGACTTGTTTGGGATTACTGGTGTTGTTTCAAATGGTTTATGTCGCATCTATCTGAGAGATCCTTTACTGTCTGTATGAATCAGGTGCTGTCTGAAGCATCAGTTCTGCCTTCTGGGGCACCTCAAGGATCTGTTTTAGGTCCTATTCTCTTTTTGCTGTATATCCTCCCTCTAGGCCACATTATCAGACGTTACAATAATATTTCTTATCATCTTTCAAAGCTTCTGAGTTTTACAAATTGTCGTGTTTCAATAATTCTCTGTCTGAGATCAAACAGTGGTTAAATGACAGTTTCCTCCAGTTAAATGCAGATAAAACAGAAACTTTGATTGTTGCACAGAAATTAAGCAGCAGATCAGTTTTTTCAGTCACGTCTCAGAAACTTTATACATAATATATATTATATGTTTGACAGTTCAATGTCTCTGGAGAAACTCTCTAAACAACTTGTTGAACTGTTTTTATCATCTGAAACATTTCTAAACTCAGACTGGTGTCAAAGGCAGAACTTGAGATGATTCCTGCTTTTATCTCTTCTCGTTTGATTATTGTAACGGTCTTTTTACGTGTCTCAACAAACCAGCTCTGGATCGCCTTCAGTCTGTACAGAATGCAGCGGCAAGACTTTAACTGGCACAAACAGGAGGTCACACATTGCTCCAGTTTCTCTTCATTGGGTAAATTTTAGGGTTCATTTTAAAGTTTTAGTTGTAACTTTTCGAGCTCTGCACGGTGAAGCTCCCCAGTATATCTCTGACCTGCTGAAACCTCATGCTTCATCCCGAGCACTCAGGTCTTCAGGTCAGAGGCTACTGGTGGTCCCACGTACTGGGTTTAAAACACGTGGGGATCGAGCTTTTCTGTCTAGACTCTGCTGACTCCTTTAAAAAGCAGCTGAAGACATTTTTATACAAACGGGCTTTTAATTCATTTTAACTTGCGTGTCTGATCTTATTGTGAAGCACTTTGTGATTTCTATCTGTGAAATGTGCTATATAAATACATTTTACTTACTTACATCACTGAAGCTTAATTAAAAGTAGCCCCTCCCACTGTCAGCGATGTCACAGAGGAGACACACACGAGAAATGTTTTCCATATTTAGAAAGCCATGTTTACATCGCTCTGATGCTGTAAAACTCAGAGCTGAGGCACCTTCAACAAGCTGCTGCAGAAAACTGACCATCATCACGAGGAGCTCCGCCCATCCGTGACGTGCTTCGTCTGATTGGCTCCAGCGGGGAGCTTCAGAGATCAGGACGCGACTCGCCGTGTGATGACAGACTGAAATAGCCAAATCTGAACGATTTCACTCATTTTTCATGCTTTTATTGTTTAAACAACAACAGGAAACATATTGATCAATAAGAAAACAGATGATTGGTGCCGTGTGACAAGCACGTCACATGACCTTTTCCATTATGTGTGTTTGTCACAATAAAAATCTGACGACCGTCTTTGTTTGACGGCTTCAGGTCACGTGTCAGACAGGACGTGTTGTCACGAGTCCCTCGCTTGTCACATGACAAGACAAAACGAAACTTTAAAACTTTACAGGGAACTTTCGTGGCTGTCTAAAGGGGCGGGGTCACCTGTGTCACTGTGGATTCTTATAGGTTAACTCTGAAAAAACAACCTATCAGAATAAAAGCTCGCTACATCTGTAGGCAGCAACTACACCTGCTGCACACCTGGAGCTCTCTGATTGGACGCTTTCAAAGCAAAGTGTCCAATCAGAGATACGCTCCTGCTTCCTGTTATCATCCCGCCTCCAGGCGGGTAGGTGGGACCTCAG